AGGATAGCGGGGACTGCATCCGTGTCGAGAGGACCGCGGGGATGTGGAGTGGATTGGGATGGAGGGCGCAAGAATAGGGTCCCAGGAGGAGGAGCGGCAAGGAGTGGAGAAGAGGAGCCGGGAGGAGTGCGGAAAAACGGAGGGCGCACGGAGGAATCTACAGGAAAAGCTGGGAATAATTTGGGAGAAATGCGGAATGCGAGCGGGAAGGGGTGGAGATTGTTGTTGTGGGAGTGTGGGATGGGGTGGCCTGGGGAGGAGTGAGCGGAATGCGAAGAACTGAGGAATAGCACAATGGAGTACGAACGAAATGAAAATTAAGATAAAGGTTAGAGAAGACTGGGAAAGAACGTTGAAAAATGGGGGCAGGTGGATACGAGCGGAGACCGGTGCGGAAACAAAGCGCGGGGGGATTGGAAGGCCCCCGAAAGCCTCCTATGACCTCTGGGTGGCCTCGGAATGGCCCCGATGACCACAGAGCAGTTCCAGAGGCTCCGAAAACCTGCGGGCACGCAGGCGGGAACCGTTGTTGGCGCGGGCCACGACGGGCGCGAACGAGCGGGGGCCCCGAAGGGCATACGTATAGGTGGCCGCGGAGTGCAGCGACGGAACCGCTGAGGGCAGAAACGGGGCCACGAAGGGCAGCGAGGGGGCCACGAAGAGCGACAGCGGGGCCACGAAGGGCACGCATATGGGACCACGACGAACGCGAACGAGCGGGGGCCACGAAGGGCATACATATATGGACCCAGAAAGGGCGACAGCGGGGCCACTGAGCGCAGAAAGTGGGCCACAAAGGGCCTGCGAGGGGGCCACGAATGGCGACAGCGGGGCGACGAAACGCATGCGTATGGGACCACGAAGGGCGCCAGCGAGCGGGGGCCGCGACGGGCAATTAATCCGGGGCCACAGAAGGCAGCGACGGGGCCGCTGAGGGCAGAAAAGGGGCCACGAAGGGCAGAGAGGGGGCCACGAAGGGCGACGGCGGGGCCACGAAGGGCATGCATATGCCACGACGGGCGCGAACGAGCAGGGGCCACATAGGGCATTCGTATATGGGGCCACAAAGGGCGACAGCGGGGCCACTGAGGGCAGCAAAGGGGCCACGAAGGGCAGCGAGAGGGCCACGAAGGGCGACAGCGGGGCTACGAAGGGCATGCGTATGGGGCCACGACGGCCGACTGCGAGCGGGGGCCACGAAAAGCATATAATGCGAGGCCACAGTGGGCTGCGACGGGGCCACTGAAGGCAGCAACGGGGCCACGAAGGGCAGCGAGCAAAGGCGACCGCGGAACCAGTACGGGCAGCGAGGGGCATCGAAGACGGGCGAAGGGCAGCGAGCGGCGACTGCAGTCCCTAACGGGCTGGTCGGGCGGGCAGGCCTAGACGGGCGGGTCGAACAGGCGGGTCGTTGAAGCGTAGGTTCTGCTTGAACCGCCAAGCAAGATGTAGCGGGAGCGCGATTCCTGTGTGTCGAGGAGCGGCATCTGAATAGATTGTGAAGAAGTATTAGGCGGGAGCTGCGATTCGGTGGTAAGTTGCGAGGAAGTCCCAAGTGAGAGTACGATTCTTCAATACGTTGTGAGGGAGTATCAAACGGGAGCCGCGATCCGGTGGTAAATAGCAAGGAAGGCCAAAGCGAGAGCGCGATTCTTCAATAAATTGTGAAGACGTATCAAGCGGGAGCCGTTGTTGTTGTAAACCGGGGGCCGACGACACAGTTTGACCGTCAAGACTTTCCTTGATAAAAAACAAGGTGCGAGCCCTGGGAAGGGCACTTCGATCGGAAAAAATATTGTGCACTGGACGGGGGGGATCAACAATAATCATTTTTCAAAAATGAGACTTCAATAACGGCCCCCGTCTGGTACATGTTCACAAATTATTGAAAAATGACGGTCTCGTGCAGGACTTCCTCACACTGTGTGCAGAAATCGCGCTCTCGCGCGGGACTTCCTCGCAATTTACTCAAACGCCGTGCCCTCGAGACTCAGGAATCACGCTCTCGCATTGGCGCCTATCACGATCTATTCAGGCATCGCGCTATCGCTCGCGACCTCGTCGCGATTCATGCAGGACTCGCGCTTCAGCACCCCGCCTGCTCGACCTGGCCGCCTGGGCCCGCCTTCCCGACCCGCCCGTCAGGGTCTGCCCGCCCAATCCTGCCCGTCTGGTTATGCAACGTGTCTTCTGCTCCTAGCCCCCCTCCTGCCAGTTTCTCTCGTGTTCCGTCCTTCGTCCTCCCCCTTCCATCCGTCCTCTCTTCCGCTGTTTTGGGGGCTGCGCTAAGAGCACGTGGCAGGCAAAGAAGATATACAGCAAGGGGGCACAATCGAAGACGAAGAGGGCGGGGACCGAGGAAGTGCTGCGCGAGCAGAAAGCAGCGAACAGTTTGAAAATTTTGGTTATTGCTGTTGCTGCGGAATTCTCCCTTGAAGAAATTAATGTTGATCCCCCCCACCAGTGCACATTGTGCTTGTCATTGAAGTGCCTCCCTCGGGGCTCGCACCTTTTTATAACAATTCTGGATAATCTTCGTGCCCGTGGCCACCTGGCTACAACAACAACGGCCCCCGCCAGATACTTCCTCATAGTTGATTCCGAAATCGCCTTCTCTCGCGGGACGTCCCCACGATGTATGCAGAAATCGCACTCTCGCGTGGAACTTCCTTGCGCCTGATTCCAACGCCAAGCCCTCGACACTCAGTAATCACGCTCTAGCTCGGGCACTTCTCACAATTTACGGGGGGAGTCACGCTATCGCTCGGAACGCCCGTGCGATTCTTGCAGGACTTACGCTTCAACATTCAACAAACCGCGTGCTCGACCTGGCCGCCTGAGCCCGCCTTCCCGACCTGCTACCGCTTGTTTTCTGCTCCTGGCCCCCCTCCTGCTAATTTCTCTCGTGTTCCACCCCTCTCCCTCCATTCCATCCGTCCTTTCTTCTCACTCTGCCTTAAGAGCTGCACTACACGCGCGCGGGAGGTAAGGAAACATACCCCCAAGACGGGGTACGATCGCAGACGAAGAGGGCGGGGACCGATGGTTCTGGATATACGTGTTGAATGGCACGCGAGCAGATAAGAGCGAGCAGTCTTGAATTGAGTGTTCTTGTTGCTACTGCTGCTGTGGTTGTTGAGCTCTCATTCCAAAAGGATGTTGATCCCCCCACCAGTGCACATTGCGTTTTTTTACTGAAGTGCCCCCCTCAAGCATCGTGTGGTGTTAGGTCCTCGTTTTTAAAAAAGACAGCCCCCGCGTCTCCTCTTCCTCCTCCTTCTCCCGCTCCTCCCTTCTCACACCCTTGCCCTTGCCTCTGCCATCACTATGGCACACCCCTCACACGCTCCGTGGTCCCATAGGGAAGCCCACCGAAGGCCCAAATGGCATGGTTCGCATGCCGCCCCCCCCCATCCACTTTGGCACACCCCTCATACGTTGCGGGGCACAATAGGGAGCTCCACCGAAGGCCCCAATGTCATGGCTCGCATGCCAGCCCCCTTCACTTTGGCACACCCCTTGCACATTTCGTGGCCCCATAGGGAGCCCAACCGAAGGTCCCATTGGCATGGTGTGCATGCCGCCCCCTGTCCAAGTTGGCACACCCCTCACAAGTTTCGTGGCCCCATAGGGAGCTCCACCGAAGGCCCTAATGGCATGGTTCGCATGACGCCCCCTTCCATTGGCACATCCCTCACACGCTTCGTGGTCTCAGGCCCGTTGGCATGGTTCGCATGCCCCCCCTCCACTTTGGCACACCCCTCGCACGTTGCGTGGCCCCATACATAGGGAGCTCCACCGAAGGCCCCAATGGCATGGTTCGCGTGCCGCTCCCCTTCCACTTCGGCCTACCCATCGCACGCATCGTGGCCCCATATGGAGCTCCACCGAAGGCCCCAGCGGCATGGTTCGCGTGGCGGCCCCGCCCCATTGCGGCGCAATTTTCGCGCGCTTCGTGGGGAGGAGGAGGAGGAGGAGGAGGAGGAGGAGGAGGAGGAGGAGGAGGAGGAGGAGGAGGAGGAGGAGGAGGAGGAGGACTCATCCTCTTCCCTACTCCTCCTCTGCTCCCCCCTCCTCCCTCGCTCCGCCCGCCTCGCGCGGGAGCGCGTGCTCGCGCCGAGGGGGGGTGGGGGGGGCGGCAGGGGGGGGAGGAAGGGGAAGAGGGCCGAGGAGGAACGGCTCGTTCTTCGCAGTCGAAGCTGCAGCAGGGAGGAGGGAGGGCGAGGGGGGCGGAGGCGGAGGAGGAAGACGAGAGGCGGAGGGGGAAAAGGATGGGAAAAGACCGACAGGGAGGAAGGCGCTGCTGCCGCAACAGTCTTGGAGCAGAACGGCCTCTTACAAGACTCTATTCCTTGCACCGTCCAAGGGGCGGGGCTATGAAGGGCGCCCCTGCCCCTGCCCCCCCCCCACCTTCGCTCGCCTCGAATCCTGAAGTGAACATGTGCTTGTTCCTTGTCGCGCGCGGCAACGCTGCCGGCCCGCACCTGGCGAGCCCGTGCTCAGAAGCGTCGAGCGGGAGCACACGGAGCACGGGCAACGACGTTGGGCCATCGGGTGAGCGCCAGGTGTGGGTTCGAGGAGGAGGAGAGGAGGAGGAGGAGGAGGAGGAGGAGGAGGAGGAGGAGGAGGAGGAGGAGGAGGAGGAGGAGGGGAGGAGGGAGGAGGGAGGAGGGAGGAGGAGGAAGGAGGAGGGAGGAGGAGGAGGGAGGAGGGAGGAGGGAGGAGGGAGGAGGGAGGAGGGAGGAGGAGGAGGAGGAGGAGGAGGGAGGAGGAGGAGGAGGAGGAGGAGGAAGGAGGAGGAGGAGGAGGAGGAGGAAGAGGAGGAGGAGGAGGAGGAGGAGGAGGAGGGCTCCTTGTGAGCCCACAGGGCGCTGTGGAGGCCACTAGCCCGCCGCCTCCTCGCTTGAGGACCCGCCCGGCTCGAGGCTCTGCGCGGGAGCGACCGCAGTTGCAGATGTGAGACTTGCGGTCAGTGCTGTGTGTGGCGTAGGAATGCTTGTTCAAGATTGTTCCATTGAGCGCTGTCTTGTGCTATCGCTTGAGGACCCGCCCGGCTCGAGGCTCTGCGCGGGAGCGACCGCAGGAGGCAGCTGCGGCCGACCTCGAAGGCCCGTCCTCCCAAGCAGCTGCGCCTCCCGCCAGCCCGCGAGCAGGGGCCGCGCCCGGGCCCCGCGCAGCTCGGCCAGCGCCTGCTCCAGGCTGCGGATGGAGTCCTCGCCCGCGGAGGCGTTCTCCTCCGCCGTGGCGTTCGCGGGCGGCGCGAGCTTGAGCGAGTGATCGAGCGACGTCCACATCTCGACGGCTCTCGCGTAGAAGCCCTCCTCCCACTGCTCGCGCATGTGCCTCGGATGCTCGGCGATCTCGCAGTGCTCAGGGAAAACCTCGTCGTAGGTGGGCCGCCGGCAACCCGTCCTCGGCGGCGCGCGCAGTGGGGCGGTGCGAAGAAGTGGACTCCAAGGCAGGCTAGGGGCTACAGAGAGGCCCTCCCGCCCTCCGAGACGCCTTTTTTCAATAAAAGACTCTGCTGCTTTCTTAGAAGGCCACCCCCTCGAGGCGCCCGCTGAAGGCAAATGGACTGCCATGACCTCCCTGGAAGCGGCAACGTGCTACCCACAGACACAAGTTGCCTTGGAAGTCGCCTGCCTTCAGCAGAGCATGCCCTCACCGAACTCGCTTCTGCGCGCCGCCCTCCTAGACGCCTTTTTTCATACACATAGAAATTATGCTACCGGAGTTACCCACATAAGGCTGAGGCGGCGCCTCGGCTGGACGGGTGGACGGGGCACGAAACCTTGGAAGCAGCACGGTATCTGAACACCCTCGTCGTTCAGGGAAGGCATCTTTGGAGACATGGGAGGGGCACGTAACCTGACAAATCACATGGTATCCGAATGCTGTCCTCGCTCAGGCGGGGCCTCCCTGGACGGGTGGGAAGGGCACGAAACCTGATAAATCAAATGGTATCCGCATACTGTCCTCGCTCAGGCGGGGCCTCCCTGGACGGGTGGGAAGGGCACGAAACCTGATAAATCAAATGGTATCCGCATACTGTCCTCGCTCAGGCGGGGCCTCCCTGGACGGGTGGGAAGGGCACGAAACCTGATAAATCAAATGGTATCCGCATACTGTCCTCGCTCAGGCGGGGCCTCCCTGGACGGGTGGGAAGGGCACGAAACCTGATAAATCAAATGGTATCCGCATACTGTCCTCGCTCAGGCGGGGCCTCCCTGGACGGGTGGGAAGGGCACGAAACCTGATAAATCAAATGGTATCCGCATACTGTCCTCGCTCAGGCGGGGCCTCCCTGGACGGGGCCTCCAACGGGAACCTGATAAATCACATGGTATGCGAATACTGTCCTCGCTCAAAGGGGCAGGCATGGGCGCCTCCTCACTCAGGCGGGCCTCCCTGGACGGGTGGGAGGGGCACGTAACCTGATACGTCACATGGTATGCGAATACTGTCCTCGCTCAGGCGGGGCCTCCCTGGACGGGTGTGGACCGGCCCGAAACTTGATAAATCACATGGTATCCGAATACTGTCCTCGCTCAGGCGGTGCCTCCCTGGACGGGTGGGAGGGGCACGTAAACCTGATAAATCACATGGTGTCCGAATACTGTCCTCGCTCAGGCGGGGCCTCCCTGGACGGGTGGGAGGGGCACGTAACCTGATAAATCACATGGTATCCGAAAGCTGTCCTCGCTCAGGCGGGGCTTCCCTGGACGGGTGGGAGGGGCCCGAAACCTGATAAATCACATGGTATGCGAATACTGTCCTCGCTCAGGCGGGGCCTCCCTGGACGGGTGGGAGGGGCACGTAACCTGACAAATCACATGGTATGCGAATACTGTCCTCGCTCAGGCGGGGCCTCCCTGGACGGGTGGGAGGGGCACGAAACCTGATGAATCACATGGTATCCGAATACTGTCCTCGCTCAGGCGGGGCCTCCCTGGACGGGTGGGAGGGGCACGAAACCTGATAAATCAAATGGTATCCGCATACTGTCCTCGCTCAGGCGGGGCCTCCCTGGACGGGTGGGAGGGGCACGTAACCTGATAAATCACATGGTGTGCGAATGCGAACACTGTCCTCGCTCAGGCGGGGCCTCCCTGGAGGGTGGGAGGGGTACGAAATCATATGATATGACGTTGCATGATATCTTATGGTATTGTATGGTATGGTATGTCATTGTATGATATGGTATGGTATGGCATGTATGGTTTTGCGATGGCATGTGGAACAGGAAACGGGAGAAGGAGAAGGAGAAGGAGAGGGTGTTCTTGGAAAGCAAGAACCCCACTCAGGATGTGGGGAACAAGAACCCCACTCAGGATGTGGGGACAAAAACTTCTGCTTCTTTCTCAGAAGGCCACCCCCTCGAGGCGCCCGCTGAAGGCAAACGAACTGCCAGGACCTGGAAGAGGCAGTGTGCCACCCACAGACACAAGTTGCCTTGGAAGTCGCCTGCCTTCAGCAGAGCATGCCCTCACCGAGCTCGCGCTTGCGCGCCGCCGACGTCCAGTACAGGCCGGCGAAGAGCGACGAGGGCACGGCGCCGGCGCAGCGGGCGCCCCCGGTGACGTAGCAGTACTGGCCGCGCCCCGCGGCGGGCTCCAGGCCGTGCCTCGCGCAGCCGCCCTGCAGAGTGGAGACGCCCTGGTCCACGCCTATGATAGGGGGCCACATGCGAACCCTACCCCTACCCCCCACGATTTCTGAGGGGGAGGGTGGGGTTCACTTCGTCCAGGAGCTCCCGAGCGAAGTGAACCCCACCCTCCCCCTCAGAAATCGTGGGGAGTAGGGGTAGGGTCCGCCTGTGGCCCCCTATATGAGCTCGCAGCCGCACGAGTCCCGCGCGCCGAGGTCGGGCGGCGGCTGCCGTGCGCCGCGGGCCACCGCCCCCTGCTGCAGCGCCGAGCGGTGCCTGGCTGGCGCCTTCGCCGGCGGCCCCGGGGCAGCGGCCACCTCGGAAGGTCGCTGGAGCAGCTCGAGCTCGCCCCGGAAGCAGTCCCGGTAGTAGCCCGCGGCGGAGGTGGGGCCTGTGCCGCGCCCGATGGCCAGCTCCACGCACTGGGACAGCCGCGAGCACTCGCTGTGGCAGGAGCTCGTGAGGCTCGTGCGCGGCCCGCAGATCTGGAGGCACCGCTCCTGCTCGCCGAGCAGGCAGGAGCCGACGCACCTGCGGAAGCCCTTCATGTCTGTGAGGTAGGCGCTGGAGCACTCGCTCCAGGCCACGGTGAAGCCAAAGATCCGGAGCTGGCAGGGGTACTCTGGGCTCAGGGTGAACTTCTCCGGGCCGCAGAGGCCAGCCAGCATCTCCTCGGCGGCGTGGCAAGTGGCGGCGAGGGCCCCCTCCATGCAGCCCCAGACGGGCAACAGAGACGCTGGACTCCCTTGCTCCCCCCGCCCCCTCGACCCCCCAAACCTCCAACGACTCGATGTTTCTGCAATGTGGGTTCCCGGGGCCTCTTGGCACCTCGCCCGGAGCAGGCTTCCCATCCGGAGCCAATTCTCTGGCGGTCCAAGGCGTACCCTCCTCCCCTACCATTTCAGTCATCGCCCCCCTTGCGCAACTTGGTAGTCCCCAAACGTGGTGGTGACAACACCTGGCGGTGAGTCTCGGGCGATTTGGTGTCACCACCCGGTTTGGGGACTCGTGCGGTTTTCCGAGGGTGTCCCGGACACTGGTGGGTCCAGGAGTCACAAAACCCTGTGGTGACCCCGCGTCCCCAAACCCAGCGGTGACCTTTTTGGGGATTCCAGGTCGCCACCTGGTATCTCACCACCCGGTTTGGGGGTTCCCAAGCAACGTCCGAGACGCCCGGGCTCCGTGAGGACCGGGAAGTCCGCCGCGCTCGCGGGCGGCACGGCCGCGAGGACCCACGCCGCTGTTGGCAGCAGCGCCCAGGAGGCGCGGCGCACGGCGGCCGCGCCGCGCCGGCCCGAGGCGGCCCCGCGCAGGCCCGCGGGATGCGCCATGGCGGGCGGTCCTCCGAGGGCCGCCGGAGGCCGCTGGTGCCGCCGAGGGCCGCCGAGGGCCGCCGGGATCCGCCAAGGGGGCCGCCGTGGGCTGCAGGGGGCCGCCGGGTGCCGCCGGGTGCCGCTGGGGGCCGCCGGGGGCCGCCGGGGGCCGCCGAGGGCCGCCGAGGGCCGCCGAGGACCGCCGCGGGCCGCCTCCAAGCAGAGGCGGCGGGGCGCTCAGCCGAGGCGGTGCGACCCTGGGAGGAGGACGCCGACCGCAGACCTGCGCCGATCCTGGCCAGACCCACCCCGGGCCGAGGATTGGCGTGCACGCCCGCCTTAGGAGGCCACATGTGCGAACCCTACCCCCTACCCCCCGCGATTTCTGAGGGGGAGGGTGGGGTTCACTTTGCTCGGTGATTTGAATGATGGAATTCTACCCTCCCAGGTGTCCAGGGCAGTCGTCCGGCCATGGGTGTCCCATAACTCGCAATCATGGGGAACCTGGAATCAGCTCAAGCAAGGCGCGTTTTCGTGTTGATTCCAATGATGAATTCGAACTCCAAGTTTCCCATCACCAAGTTATGGAAAACCGGGAATCACTACAATAGAATAAATTTTTGAGCTAATTCGAGGTTTCCCATCGGAATTCTAGGAAACTCGGAATGAGCTCAAGGAAGGCGGTTTCTCGTTATGATTCCTAGCTTCTCATAATTCGAACTCCAATTTCCCATAGCCGAATTATAAAAAACCTGGAATCACCACCAAACCAAATTCGGTATTGAGCTGATTCCAAGTTTCCTATAATTTGGAATCATGGGAAACCCGGAATCAATTTCAGAAAAGTTGATTTTCGTAGTGAATCCAGGTTTCCTACAATTCGAACTCCAAGCTTCCCATCATGTAATTAGAAGAATACCGGAATCACCACAAAAACTATTTTTTGAGCTGATTCGAAATTTCCCATAATTCAGGATTGTGAAAAAAGAAAAGCGGTGTTGGTAGTGATCCCAAACTTCCCATAATTCGAACCCCTCATTTGGGGAAGCGGGAAGCGGCAGTTTCCCGCAATGCGGACGATTTCCCGTGATTCGAATCCAGAAGCTCGGGACACCAGGAGGGAGATGCCGCTGGGGGGTCTTGAATTGCGGGAACCCTGCAAGCACCACAAACAACAAGGTTCTTCGTGGTGAATGATCCCAAGTAATTCGAATTCGATATTTTCCATCATCGAATGATGGGACAACTGGTGCCACCACAAAAATTTGTTCTTGAACTGATCTTGAATTTCCAACATTTCGGAATTATGGGAAACCTAAAACCAGCTCAAGAAAGGTTGTTTTTCGTAGTGATTCCAAGTTTCCCATACTTTGAATCCCAAGTTTTCCATGCGCGTATTACGGGAAACCCGGGGTGACGACATACGAGTGAGGTTCTTGAGTTAATTCCAGATATCCCATACTTCGGAACTATGGGAAACCCGGAATCACCTCAAGACAAGCTGTTTTGGGTGATTCCAGGTGTCCCATAATTCGAATTCCAGGTTTCCCATATTCGAATTATGGGAAACCTGGAATCACAAGAAACAACAGGGGTTTGAACTGATTCCAACTTCCCCATAATTCTGAATGTTGGGGAACCCAAAATCAGCTCAAGAGAAAAGGATTTTCGTAGTGACCACCCGTGTGGTGGTGGCCGTGTGGGCGCGGCACGGTCGAGGGTGCCGGTGCACCCCCCCCCATTTAGGTGTGGGGTGGTTCGTCGTCATCGTCGTCGTCGTCGTCGTTGTCGCGGTCGTGGTCGTGGTCGTCGTCGTCGTCGTCGTCGTCGTCGTCGTCGTCGTCGTCGGTAGTCCGTCGGCGTCGGAGGGGCGTCGGCGTCGGCGTCTGTGTCGGCGTCGGTGGCGTCGACGGCGGCGTCGACGTCGGCGTCGGCGTCGCCGTCGGCATCGTCGTCGGCGCCCCCCCCAACCTGTGTGGGGGGGAGCCTGTAGAACCCTGGGGCCCATCTCATTTGTGGGGCCTGTGAACCCTCGACCCATATATGCTATCCTGGGCCTGGGACTGGCTTGGAACATGATCGGCGTAAGTGTGTGGATGACGGCTCCCAACCTAGGCCCGCATGTCGCGCTGCATTGGTTCCCGATGCGGCCCGGCAGAGGGTAGGGTGGGATGGGGAAAAGGCGGCGAAGGAGGAGGGAGAGGAGGGACGAGGAGAGGAGGAGGAGGAGGAGGAGGAGGAGGAGGAGAAAGAGGAGGAGGAGGAGGAAAAGGAGGAGGAACTAGAATTGCGGAGGGTGGAAGCTGCACGAGAGAAACATGGCGGCACTCAGATGTGTATATATATGTGTGTGTATATATGTATATATGTATATATATATATGTGTGTGTATATATATATGTTGCGGGGCTTTTACCCTTCATGCAACAAGTAGATCTGCGCCGACCCTCGGGCCAAGCAGCGGCGACCCCTCCTATTTGACTCCGGCTTGTGCAGGCGATCGAACAGCTCTGGCGGAGAAAAGAAGCCAAAAGAAGAAGGGAACCATAACTGCCCAACCACAAGCACACTGTCGACTCGGCAAGGAGACGCCGTGGCTGTCTGACCCGACGGGCGCGCGACGGGCAGGGGGAACGCGGGCTCATCTACTGTAATGGTGAGCTCGCTCGTGCTCTTAAAAGCGGCACTCGAAGAGCTCACACGCGTAAATGATGATGGTGTGGTTTCCTTCAGACGTGTAGTCTGAGCGCTTGCCCTAGGACATCGATAGAGCGATGGCCCCAGGGTCACGTGGTTGGAGGTGGGTGCGCCTCCGAGGGCTCCACAGTCAGACGTGAGTTTTGCGTTTCCAGCGGTAAGCGTTTTAGCTGGAACGTGTCGGACTCAAGCTTTCTGTCCATGGTCCGCTGCGTTGGCCGGCTCGGTGCGCTTTTGTGTCGCCCGATTCCGCCCAGGCGTTAGTCTGGACAGTGGCCGTCACGAGGTCGGCAACGGCAAGAAGGACGACGACGACAGGCGGCTCGGCCCTAGACGAGCGCGCTCCAGTACTCGCAGCGTGACTACTCGCGGATGGCCTGGATCCGCCGCGGGGGATCCACGATAAGCTCCCTCGAGGCAAGCATACGTTTTTTTTTGTTCTCGGACATTTGCGAGTCGGCACTCTGCGAGCAATGGAAAACGCGCTCGGGGAGACCTCTGCGCCCACCTCTCGCGCGCGACGCGCAGCGAGGACCTCCTGCCGAGGCGCGCGCCCCCCGTCGAGCTCCTCTCTGCGGGGGGGGCCGCCCGCGGGGCGCGCGGGGAGGCCCGCCGGAGCACGGCCAGGGCCCTCGCCGCGAAGCTGGCTTTCGAGGAGCTCGTCCGCGCGGCGAGGCCTATGCTGCTCCCATCGCACGTGAGGGCCACAGCCCAGAAATAACCTCGAGCGCCCGGAAAAGTGCCGAACGAGTGTCGAAAGAGTGTCGGGCGAGTGTCTCTCAGGGCCCGACACGCGAAAACCCTTGAGTCGTCGGGCGCTTCTCTGGTGCTCGGAATTCTTTCTGGTACTCGAGGCTAAAGTGGGCTGGAACATCGTAGGTAAGGCGAGGCCTGAGCTGGCCCAGGCATTCGCGAGCTCGGGGCGCAGTCGCGCCGCCACTTCGTCCGGAGCTCCGCGCGCTGCGCTGAAGCCGTTCACAGCTTTTAACACTGCCCTTGCCCTCGTGCTCCGCGCCGCGCGCATGATTAGCCTCCTGCATGACATGTGGGTCGCGTGAGTGCGTGCCGAGCCTTTTTCCGACGTGCTCTGGCAAAGCTGCCAGGGGCGCTGCGGAGCCCCGAACGAGGCACCGCGGAGTCCCCAGCGAGCTCTTGTGCATGGAGCGGTCTTGTGGGTCGCCTCCGCGTCTGTAGAACGGGTTGGTCTCTTCGCTCGGGCAATTCTGGCTTCCTTGTCGAACGCGGCCTCGGCATCTGCTCACGCCTTCGCCCAGTGGGACTTGCCCGTCAGCCCATTCGTCTTGAAGGAGGTGCTGCTCCTCGCGTACTTGGCCATGGCGGGGCCGAGGAGGTCCTTGCTGTACAGCCGGGGCCTTGACCTAAGGAACCCTAAATAAGGAACGAGGCCCCTTTCTCCATAAGTTAATCTTCGATTTCGCATCGAAAACCCAAGGAAAATCCCAGGCAAGCTGCGAAACACGTAAGGAACGCGGAGCCCCTCCCCAACCAAAAGGGTTCCTTCTTCAGGGCCCCGACTGTACTTGGCCATGGCGGGGCCGAGGAGGTCCTTGCCGTAGAAGCCCGTGTCCCTCACCTTCTTCAGTTGCTCGGGCCCCTTCTTTCAAACAGGGCTAGGATCGGGATAAATCGCTCCAGAGCGTTCCGGAGCGCTCTCAGAGCGTCCTGGAACGCTCTGGAGCGGCCGCGGCGCCCAATACGTCCTCCAAACCCGCCGATTCTCAGAGATTTCGAGTTATCCCGATCCGATTTTGTCCCGATCTTCGCGTCGTGTGATAAAGTCCGTGTCCCTCGCCTTCTTCAGTTGCTCGGGCCCCTTCTTGGCGCCCCTCTGGCTCGAACAGCCTCGCGGGCTTCCTAGCCTTGGTGGTGAGGGCGACCCTGTCCGTCGTGCCAGTCGTGGTCGGCGCGAGACCCATCAACTTATCGTTTGACTACCTACCAGACCACCCCAACCCAACCCGAAGACCCGAATTTCGGGTTGGGGGGGGTAAGGGTTCCAAATGTGTTTTTTCTATGTTTCCCGACCCCCCCCTCACTGGAAATCGAGGGTAAATCTGAGCCTTCGGGTTGGGTTGGGGTAGTTTGGTGGATGGTGATCGTTGGCAGTGCCGCTGAACTTGAACGAGTGGAGGCCGCAAAGGGTCCCTGGCTCCACCGACGTGTTTCTGCTACCGGTCCCACTGGCCATCGATCGAGTCCATTCCGTGTTTTTTCCGGTTTCGTGCGTGGCTTTTTCGCAAAATAATCAAGGATGCTCCTCGATTGTCTTCGCCGAAGGAAAAAATGCACACGTCCGAGCGATGTCAAGACCTTGTCCGTCTTGCCAGTCATGGTCGGCGCGAGACCCATCAACTTATCGTTGGCAGTGCCGCGGAACTTGAACGAGTGGAGACCGCAGAGGGTCCCTGGCTCCGCCGACGTGTTTCTGCTACCGGTCCCACTGGCCATCGCTCGGACGTCCATTCCGTGTTTTTTCCGGTTTCGTGCGTGGCTTTTTCGCAGAATGACCAAGGATGCTCCTCGATGGTCCTCGCCGCAGGAAAAATGCACACGTCCGAGCGAAGCCAAGCGCAGGGTGTGCGTTTTAGAGCATGGGCTTCCACTGCACGCCCTGGAGAGCGGGCAGGCACGCCAGCGCGTGGCACCTCGTCGCGTGGGGCCAGTTCTCGGGCGGGCGGCTCGGGACCGTCGGACGGGGCAGAGAGAGGAGGAGGAGGAGGAGCAGGAGGAGGAGCCAAGCCCAAGGCTCTTCCGCAGGAAGGTTGTTGGCTTTCACGCGATCTCCGATGAGCGCGGCGCGGGCGCCGCTCCCTCGCAAGGGAGCAGCGACGGGGACCGCGGCGGAAGGAGTCGGCTGAAGGCTTCGGAATCTCGAGCCAAAGTGGCTTGGGCCAAATTAGGGGGCAAACAAACCTACCTCGCTTTTGACCACCCTCGCTTCCAAGAGATACCAAGCGAGGCCAAACTACGGCATGTACTGGTCAGGCCGCTTGACGAGGAGGCGTATGGTATGACTTTGTTTTGCCTGGAAGCGAAAGCGGGGTAGGTAATTCACGCTCTGACAAATTGGCCACGGAAATCCGATTAGCGAATGCTTCACTCCGTCGCGCGAATTATGCACGAGTGGACGACCGAAGCGCAGGTTCCGCACTGCGACGCGCTGGTCAGCGTCGGATGCTCTACTGATGTCATGTTGCGCATCGTCGTAATGCTTTGACGTTTCTTACTGCTGAATGTCAAGATGCTGTCTAAAGGGAGCACGCTTGCCCAGAAGCCCTCAACACAGCGTGGATCCAATGCGCTGTAACTGGCGCATGGGCCGCAACCCCAATCCCCGTGCGTGCCGACAAGCGACGATTGCGCTCCCGTACTGTCGGCCTGGCGAACACATGTTTTCTGGAGGTCCCCAGCACTACCCCGAGGCCTCCAGAGGCTCCTAGACGCCCGAAACACACCATTATGTAGTATGTGTTCAGCGCGGACCCGAAACAGTGCGTTCTTGCACTCTGGATGTGTAAGTTATGTGGAGCAAGCTATTTGGTGCCATCTACGTGGTGCCAACAATGTGGTACAACCAGATGTGGTGCAATCTAGCGGTGCAGGCTATGTAATGCCTACTGTGTGGTGCAAGTTGTGTGGTAGAACCTATTCGGTAAAAACGATGTCGAGCAGCAGAAGTGCCAGAAATCTTCTGGTGCAAGCGATGTGGTGTAATCTATATGGTACAAGCTATATGGCGCAAGATGTATGCTTCAAGCTAGGTGGTGCAATCTCTGCTGTACAACAAATGTGTAAGCTGTGTGGGGCAAGCTGTGTGGTGGAACTAATATCTGTTCGCAGTGAATTGTCCACTCCACTGCTCGCGCAAACATCCCACCCACCCACCCGCAACTTGGCTTGCAAAACCTTTGAAGACCGTGACGGTGGGTACCACATGGCAATTGGCAACGACACCGACGCCGACGACGACAGCGACAACGACGACGACGACGCCGCCGACAACGGCTACGACGACACCGACGACGTCTCCAGCGACTTCGACGACGCCGACATCGACGACGACGACGACGACGACACCGACGACGACGACGACGATGACAACGACGACGACGACGCCGACGCCGACGACGACGACGCCGACGACGATAACGAGGACGAAGACGACGACGTCGCCAACGAAGACGACGACGACGACGAGGGAGGAGGGAGGACGACGACGGCGGCAACGACGACAACGAGGGAAGAGGGAGGACGGCGACGACGCGAACGACGAAGAAGGGAGAACGGCGACGCCGACGACGACAACGACGAGGGAGGAGAGACGACGACGACGACGACGACGACGACGACGACGACGACGACGACGACGGCGACGAAATCGGAGGGGCAACGACGAAACGCCGACGAAGAGGACGAGGGAGGAAGGACGACCACGGCGACAACGACGACGGAAACGACGACGACGCCAAGACGACGACGACGACGACGAGGAAAGACAGAGGACGACGACGGCGACGACGACGACGACGAGGGAGGAGGGTGGAGAGCGACGGCGACGACGACGCAAGAGCGCGCGCGCACGCTTTTGTTGAACATCCGTGTTGCGAAACCCTGTGTTTTTGTATGTTTTTTGGACACTCGACTTTGAAATCCTTCCGAAACCAAATTTCTAAAGGATTTAGGCATGCGCGCGCGACGACGCGCGCGTACGCACTTTGTCCCGTTTTTTGCAGAGGATTCTGGGTAGTATTTCCTGTGTGTCCTGAAATTCTTGAAGAACCTATGGTTTTCTGGAGATTTCGTAAGAGCGCGCGCGTATATGTTTTTTAAGCAACTCAGTGCTGCGAACCCCTTTTTTTTCTTTTTGTTTTTTTTGTATTTTTTCGGACGCTCGATTTTGAAATCTTTCCGAAATCGAAGGTTTTTGAAGGATTTCGGCATTCGCGCGCGGCGACGCGCGCGTGTCCACTTCGTCCAATTTTTGGCAAGGGATTCTTGAGAACTCATGATTTCTGATGAACGAGAGTGCGCGCATAGTATTTTTTTGCAAAGGGTGGCGGGGGGGAGTGATACCGGCTTGGCTGGGACGCTATGAACTCATATGTAGGATGGACGATGGGACAGAATCGCATGTAAACTGCAATGCGGAAAGGCGTTCCGTTAACTCCGGGGGGGAGGGTAGAGCTCAGTGGGCCCTGGAAACGACAAGGCCGTTTTTTTAACGGTTCCGTTTTGCCGTTGTTTTGCTGGTTCCGACACCATTTTTGTTACCGGTTCCGTCGCCGTTCTTTTACGGGTTTCCCGCTTTGGTTCCAATCCTGGAGCCGTTTTTGTTGCCGTTTCCGGTCGCCTTTCTTTTGCCGTTTCCATTTTCAAAGGACACTTTTTCGGAAACGGTGAAAAAGCAGCCCTGCCGTTTCCGGGGCACTAAGGGGTAGAGTCTATTCTTCTTTTCGAAAGGAGAACCAGGGAGGAGGAGGAAAAGGAGGAGGAGGAGGGTCTCCAGGGAGGAGGAGGAGGAGGAGGAGGAGGAGGAGGAGGAGGAGGAGGAGGAGGAGGAGGAGGAGGAGGAGGAGGAGGAGGAGGAGAGAGGAGGAGGAGGAGGAGAGGAGGAGGAGGAGACGGAGGAGGAGGAGGAGGAGAGGAGGAGGAGGAGGAGGAGGAGGAGGAGGAGAAGGAGGAGAGGAGGAGGAGGAGGAGGAGGAGGAGGAGGAGAGATAGAGGTGGAGGAGGAGGAGGAGGAGGAGGAGGAGGAGGAGGAGGAGGAGGAGGAGGAGTGGTGCACACGACATCCAGCCAGCGCACGGGGCGGCGACGAAGC